CTTACCAGTATACTAAAATCAATGACAGTTCTTTTCCTTAACGCTATCTGTGTCACCTAGATCCATGTTTTCAACAACTTCTGATCATGAGATATAGTGACGTCATAAAAATTCACTTCAGATATCAAGTTCTTCTGTACGACAGCAATAAAATCCTTGGTACTTACTGTAATCCTCAAACGAGAATACAGCTCAGTATACATGTCTATCCTGTACATCATGTATTACATAGTTCAATTACTATGTATTTTGCCTCTCTTCTTGTTAACCCAGGCTAATGTTCATCACCATACTGCTTGTAATACTGTTGGTTCACTGGAAGGAATTATCGATTCTCTGTCGTCTACTGTGGAAGAATTAACAGATCTGGCTAAACAGAAAATTACTACATTAGAAGGTAGTACATTCCTTTATAATTTAATTACTTTAAAAACAACGTTTTCGTATTAATGTAAATGGTTTCTTTTTACTGAACTAACTGTACATTTTTCTAAAATATAATCAAAGAGTCTACCAAACTTCACATAAACAAAGTACAATCATTGTTTTATGTTTAGAAACATTCCCATCATTGACCTTGATTGAATCAAATAGAATTCAAGGTTAATCAAATATAAATATTATCAATAGATGTATACATCTATAAAGACAAGAGCTGCTTTGTTATATTATAGAAGTGAACTAAAACCTCTAAAATCACAAAAAATAGGAAATAAATATAAATTATGCCTGTTTCATTCTAGGATGAACACAGATTATAACACGAAAACATGAATAGTTAGACTAAATAGCTTAAATATCATAACATTATATATTTATTATTTTTATTATATTGACCTTTCAGCCGTGTCTGGCTAACAATACACATGTTACAATGACGCAGCTCACGTGCACTCATGTTACCGTATCAAATAACATAAAACTGACCTTTGTTCGGTGCAAAGTAACTTGTCTTGGCTGTGTTTTAGTAGACTAGTATTTTGTAAAATACAGTCAAATTTAAATTAATATACATTATATATGCATATAGATTATTGCTATTTTGAAATAATTTCTTAAAGTTATTTCTCCTAAAACATAGTACAGTAAATAAAGAAGTAAAGCAAACAATTATCTCTTCTTGTTACGACCTTTGTACTCGGTTGCTGCTTGACGTAGGTTGCTAAGCCTTTAAATAAATTTTTTAGTTTTCATATATACATTTGAATAACTAAAAAATCATAAATTATTACATTAATACCAAAGAATTCCACTATAATTTATCAAGATGTATTTTAGTCTAAAAAATATGTAATTTTGAGCAGACTAAAGACACACCCTAACCTTGTTGAAATCTCGGTTCAAAAGAAAGATATAGCGCTAAGTCCATTAAAACGGCTGAGAAAGCCACCAAGGGGACATTCTGAGCTTCCGATTGGTTAGTCATGTCATATATAGATGTAAGCGTGTATAAGAGAGTGTTTCCAAAAATGGAAAGAGGTGGACGGGGGTGCCAGTGTTTGATTTCTAACATGAGCAATATCTTAGCAAATTAAAAAGATAAGAGGTTCTTATTTTAAATTATAGCTTGTAAATATCGGTAATTTGTCTGTCTAATTCGTTCGAAACTACAGACTTAGTATTATGACTTCACAAACATCTAATTTGAATCAGTGCTGCATTCAACATACCACATGACAAACAAAAATCGATGTTTAGCTGTGTTTTTTAATATTTACTTTTAATATGATTAATGTATAGAAATAAAATTTGAATTATAATCTACAGATCGATACCAAAGTTATTGATATAAATTCATGAAATAGTAGATCAATAAAATTTTGATTGCGAATGAACAAACGAGATGACATGGCCTTTCACCCGTGACCCGTCTCGAAAGGGTTAATGTTTTACTTACTATGTCTATCATGTACTAAATTCTATATTTCCAGTTTATAATGACACTCCAATAACAGTCCTTTTACCAGATTAATTATGTCTAGCCAATAAGAATACAAAATGGAGAAAAGACAACACAATCTATACAAGAGTATTTTAGATAATTATTGCCATTAAATGAAATGTTCACATATGTGTATATACAATACCTAGACAAGACGTAAAAATTATCTAGTTACGTCTTTGTATATACAGACATTTACGTCCATATACATAAATAAAACTAAAATCAGAAAAGCTAGCTTATAAAAAAAAAAATAAGCATCATAAATTACGTTCGGTAAAATTAAACCTGAAAGTAAACCACAGCACTTCCTCAGGTTTAAACATATAATATCTATATATTAACGACTTTAAGTGGGGCGTATCGGTATTGAATGTTTTAAATATTTTTTACATCATTTGAATTTCTCAGTAAGTGGTTTAATACGAAAGTTTGAAATCAAGGTTCTTTTTCAAGATTAATTAACATGAGCTAAACGATTGGAATTAACCCATAAGACAAGAGTAATTAAAAGTCCTCTCAATAACGAATAGTAAACAGGAACTGGTATAAAAGAAACTCCATTGAGTAATACAGATAAACTAACATTTAAGGGACAAAGCTTACTTGTTGATTTAATATATATGTTTATCTTTCTCTTATTAGTGACTCTTGTTTCTTGTGAAAACACGAACCATTTAAAGTGTAAGTTACTCGAGTTTGCCGGTATAAAGTTTTATCAAGTTATTATATGGATTTGACCGATCTCGCAATCAACATCAGTGATTATTCTCTGTACGGGTTCGGTAAAAATATAAAGTTTTTTGTTTAGAAACGTTTGATATCTATCTCGACATTATAAAGATTTCGCATGGGAAGTTTCAAAA